TATATATATATATATATATATATATATACGATAACGTGTACGAAGAAATGATCCTCAATTATCAGTTTGGAGCATTTTCCTTCAGATCAAAACTGAAAGAAACAGGCCGGAAGTTCCTTTTCTATAATGCACGTATCATATGAGATGTTTTTGTAATAGATAGTTCAAATCAAAATATTGTATAGCAAGGAATGGAACTTTAAGGTGCAATAGATTGCAGGTGATTAATCATTACTCAATGATAACGGTCACCGTTTCGAGCAAACAATACCTTTGACAATACGAGAAATCTATGAAAGTGAGGGGCATTCTCGCATCAGCTCGTTTTTTCTCACTTCGCTTCGACTCCCCGTCACAACGTGAACTCATTTCGAGAGTCAGACTCGCAGCCAAAATATTAAATTGTATTCGATTCTTCGATTTTTTCTCATAATATAGGATTTCATCAAATATTTATTCGTTTACAAGTCGTTTGAGGTAAATGGGCAGCGTAGTGAGCAGTATCTGACGATGATGAATCAATAAAGAGAACACCATCGAATGGATACTGGTTGAAAGAATGCAAACTGACAAGATAAGAGATCGCCACCTTGTGCAGGTGGAAGTTTGAAACTTGAAAATCTCAATCATGTGGCTCATCAAGAATATATCTCAACCATTACAGATTCATTTCGTTCAATTTCTCTGTTTTATGAGATGTAAAAATGATCGTTGTGATGGTTAGATAGAGAATGAAGGCAAGAAAATCAGGTAAGAAACCCATCGGAACAATCGAATATGTCAATATTTCCTAATGACATCGCGATCGGTTTTGTGAGATCCACAAATTGAGTTCAATTATTTGAAGTTTTTTCATAATTGTGTCGGAAAGAATGGAATGAGCCATTCATTCAGTCAAAGAAAAATGTTTGGGCGGATTGTTAATGGAATATTGTGGAACGGCGAGCAATAAAACATTCAGTCTCACTTAAATTGAATGCGAACGATGTTAATCGCCATAAAAAATAAACATAAAAACGTTGAAATTAAACAGTTGTCGATCGTCGGAAGACTCAGCGCTAGAATTCATCGCATTATACATTCAACAACGAGAATTCAGTTTACAAACAACTTCTTTCGTTTGTTTTTCCATCTACAGAAATGGACAACAAGAGATCGCGAGTACACATTCAAAAGTTCACAAAATCAACTCAAAGAGTTGTTCGAATAAGGAACAGTGGGAAGCATAATTCTGTGAGGAAAATGAAGACGGCTACTGATCTGACAGATTTCACGCTCAACTTCATAAGCAGTTTACGAGCGGTCCTCATTTAATCAGTCACCTTCTAGTAGCTCCTTTTGATGCTGTTTACACGTGACTGAGTTGATCAAATCAAAAATTGAGTAGCACGAAATAGAGGAGAAGATACCGGAAGACGTGAATAGATGTGATGCTTAAGGAAATGTAAGTNGGTTGATTCACAACAAAACAACACAGATGACCAATTTCTGGTATCATCTTCCTCTTCTCATTTAGAGTTTTGACTATAGTGAAGAAGCTTTGATCATTCCAACTCTAACTCAAACAATATATTAATGAAATGTTGTGAAGTGATGGATGAGTAATGAGAAACAGTGATGGCCGTAGATTGCCGTGTGTGCTGGCTGTCTCATTGGCTGGCTTGATTGGTTATGAGCCTCGAGCATAGAGCGTCATCAATTACGGGGTGAAAACAAGCAATAATTAGTGCGATGGGCACAGCCACTTGTTGAGGAGGCTAAAATGAGAATAAATGTCTCATGTATAACGCAAGAATGAAAAGTAAAACGACGACAGCATTTGAGATGGGTAAATGGGAGGGGAAAGAAGGAAGCAATGACTGAATGACGGAAGGAAGACGTTCTTCGAGCATGGTGCTAAAACGGTAGAGGATACTAAATAACTGAACAAAAAATATTTCTCGTTGATTGCGTGGAAACGATGAGACGTACTGAAAGGATGGATAGATGAATGAAGATGTCTGCTGAATATTTAATCCTATTACTGCAACTCAACTTAATTACATTCCAGCAACACTCTAAAGATCATCACCAGTAATATTATTGTTACCATTAGCAACAATATCATTAGAATTATTATTACTAGCATATTATAACTGTTAATAATATCAAGCTAATAATCTCATAATCAGTTTCCTACT